AAAAAAAAAAAAAACATACAATACAATTTTTTAAAAACTGCTCATGTCTTTTGCTTTGTTGTTGTTGTGGTCAAAGGACCTCCTCAAGATCATCTATACGGGCACGAGCACGGCTGCCTTGCAGGAAGCAGAAAATCTGACCAACACGGATGGACAGCCGGTGGAAAGCAGGGTGGGCGTCCGCACTATCTGTGTCAGCCCAGATGGGAAACACTTGGCGTCCGGAGACCGCGACGGAATTCTCAGGTCATTTCTTTCAATGCGGGAAAGATGATTTGTGACAATGGATTGGTCACGGACTGAATTGAATTTGTATTTCAAAGCACCGCTTGCTGTCATTTAATTGTACAGGCGTGCCTACTATCGTGACAAACAATTCTGATACAGTCGATGAAGCTTGGCCTTGTTTGTTGTTCTGTTCAGAATCCATAACCTCAGCAGCATGGAGGAGATTCTTAAAGTGGAAGCTCATGATGCTGAAATCCTCTGTCTGGAATACAGCAAACCACAAACAGGTCAACAGCGCACATGTATAATGTCAATCCTTCCTTCTTTCCTTCCGTCATTTCTTCCTGTCAGACCATCCTTGTTTCGCTTTCACCTTCCATTCTACTTTTATTCCTACATTCTTCCATCCTGATACACAACAAGGTGAATTCTGCATCGTATTGAATAGTTTGGTTCGCGTGCAGGTCTGCAACTTTTGGCCACGGCAAGCAGAGATCGTCTAATTCACGTGCTGGATGCCACCTCCGACTACAGCCTTGTGCAAACGCTGGACGAGCACTCGTCCTCCATCACGGCCGTACGCTTCGCCGGTGAGCCTACTGAGACCCTTTAGTCCTTGTGCGCACCGCTTCTTTAAATAATACATAACTATTGATTATGCGTGCTCACGTGGGCCTTAATCTTATACTGTATGGACAAAAGAATTGGGACATAACACAGACAGGAGGAAAGCAGCAATCAATCGTGTCATCTTTTGATTGGTCACGTTTGCAAGTAGCAATGATGCGAGCGTCGCATGTTGGATCATAACTTAAAAAATGATTATGTTTACATTAATAGGCATTTTT